TAATGCTATTTCAGTTATTTAAGTTGATAGCATAATTTTGTTGTCATGTTTTATCACATTGCTAACATGTTTCTTTTATGATTTAGCACATTGCTAACATGTTGCAAATTTTTCTAACATCCAATATTTGGGACATTGTTATCACGATACACAGGTTAAACACTGTTGTTTGCTGCACTTTTGCTAACATGTATTAGCATCTAGCTAACAGGTTATATCATACATGCACACTTTGCTGACAGTACACGTATCTATCAGACGTTGATGCTAACAAGTCTTTAATTTTCTTTACTTTATATGCACATGCATATTGTATTGGCCTTAACTTCAAATGTATCATAGAAGCCTGTCAAATATCATTTAAGCTGTGGTCAAATCTAGTGTTGAATATGTTTGCAGCTGTTTTCAGCGCTGGTGTTTATTTATTTATTTTTTTTATCTGCTGTAAATGAGATGCATCTGTGGCACCTGCCATCTGCCCAGCTCAGCTCATTCCCTAAGTAGTGCACAAACATACACACACCACGCTGACCACTGATCAGCAGATCAGATCCATCTGGCTGAACACAGAGGCTTCAGCTGACCATAAAATGCCCTCAGTGGAGGAATCATGTGTCGGGAATGAAAGCATATTTTTTCTCTATACTGCACTGAAGAGCCATAGCTTAAACAAATATGATGCATAATACCTATTTAAATGCAAATACTTTTAAAAATAAAACTATATAAATACATTCGCCAGCCACTTTATTAGGTACACCTTACTTATACTGGGTTGGACCCGCTTTTGCCTTCAGAACTGCTTTAATTCTTCGTGGCATAGATTCAACAAGGTACTGGAAATATTCCTCAGATTTTTCTCCATACTGACATGATAGCATCACACAGTTGTTGCAAATTTGTCAGCTCCATGATGCGAATCTCCCATTCTACCACATACCAAAGGTGCTCTATTTGATTAAGATCTGGTGACTGTGGAGGCCAATTGAATACAGGCTGAGATGATTCGTGCTTTGACGTGGTGTGTTATTCTGCTGGAAGTAGCCATCAGAAGATGGGTACACAGTGGTCATAAAGTGATGGACATGGTCAGCAACAATACTCGGTAGGCTGTGGTGTTGACATGATGCTCAATTGGTACTAATGGGCACAAAGTGTGCCAAGAAAATCTCCTCTACACCATTACACCACCACCACCACCAGCCTGAGCCGTGGATACAAGGCAGGATGGATCCATGCTTTCATGTTGTTGACGCCAAATTCTGACCCGACCATCCGAAAGTCACAGCAGAAATGGAGACTCATCAGACCAGACAACGTTTCTCCAATCTTCTATTGTCCAATATTGGTGAGCCTGTGTGAATTGTAGCCTCAGTTTCCTGTTCTTAGCTGACTGGAGTGGCACCTGGTGTGGTCTTCTGTTGCTGTTGCCCATCTGCCTCAAGGTTGGACTTGTTGTGCGTTTAAAGATTCTTTTCTGCAGACCTCGATTGTAACAAGTGCTTATTTGAGTTAAGGCCTACTCACACTATGCCATCCGTACCGTGCCCAGGCCTGTTTCCCGGATCGTTTGAGAAGTGTGAGTGCGCTGAATCGGGCTCAAGCACGGTTCACTTGGCCGGCCCTGGCCCGGTTGGAAGAGGTGGGCCTGAGCCCGGTTCACTTGGGCTTTGGCGCGGTACGCTTGTGTGTGAGTGCAAAACGCGCCAAAGCCCGAAACTGAAAACGAGAGGTGACTTTTAAGGCACTGTTTCATATGGATTTATTAATAATTCTTACTGTTCAGTGAACGCAAACTGCCGTAGTTTATTAAAAACGCAAACCCTTCACTGCACGACAGCTGCGCGCCTTCAGCAGACCTCCTCATTCTTGCAGCACGAGAGCTTTATGATTGTTTATGAGCGACAAAAGTGGCGGATCTGTTCGGCGAAATATCTGACTGCGTGTCCCCGCATCCCTAAGGACTGTTTGGCGAAATATTTGACGGCATATCAAACGACTGAAACGATATAACTAGAGAAATCTCCACTGTGCTGCTGAGTGAGAGAGCGCTTCTCACTGAACAGCGCAGTAGCGATGACGTAAGCATGCTGAAGCCCGTTTGTGGTGTGAGCGCGGGACATGGGGGACATGCGTGCTGTGGCCCAGTTCGTGGCAACTGTACCTAGTGTGAGTACGGCCTTACTGTTGCCTTTCAACTGTGTGATGTTATCATGTCAATATGGAGCAAAATCTCTGATAATACTGGAATATTTCCAGTACCTTGTTGAATCTATGCCAAGAAGGATTAAGGCAGTTCTGAAGGCAAAAGGTGATCTAACCCGGTACTAGAAAGGTGTCCCAAATAAAGTGGTCGGTGAGTGTATATTTTCCTTTTTGTCTGCTCAAGCTCTTAAGTCATGAAATAGTCTGACTTTTGGTCAGTGAAAATGAGATACAAATGAACTTTTGGCTTAGAGTGGGAACCCTGTATGCAGTGATAGTTATTAGAGATGCGCGGTTGGCGGTTATAGCCGCGGACTCCGCGGATCAGGCGGATGACGTTACGAAAAAATAATATTTTAATTAAATTCGGGCGGGTGGCGGGCGGTTGTACTGTTTTTATATTCATAGCTGGCGCACCAACGAAAAAGCCTAGGACTGACTTCACAGAATAGGAGGAGGAATCGGATACACTAATTCTGGATGAAGTACAGAATTATTCCTCTACAAACTTCCATATAGACGGATCAGCAGAGGAAAATCTACTTTCCTTTTGGGAGAAATAAGGCCAGGCATTCCCACGATTACAGCACCTTTCCAAGAGAATTCTATGCATTTCAGCAACAAGTGCTGCGAGCGAGCGCTCCTTCAGTGCAGCAGGGCGCATTATAGTGGCTATGCAGGCGCTCCCGTCTGAATCCGGACACTGTAGATGCTATTTTATTCCTGCATTGTGCCAAGAAAAAATCAAACTAGACCTAAAGTCAGGCATATTAAACCAATTAGCCTATGTTATTTAGGCTACACATATGTTACAATATAAACTTTTGAGTTCGGTCAGCTGATTATTTTACGTTCATATTGGTTTAGCCTATTCTATTCTAGACATGTTGGCCTCGCTTTTACGTTCCGAGGCTAAGGTTATTTTGCCAGAATTTCTTTGTCGCAACTTTAATGACGTAGTATTTCGTTATGCTTCAAGTTTGAGGGGAATGTGGATGATCCTCCATGGGTTATTGGGGCACTTGTCATACATGCACTTTAGCCTGTTCAGACTTTATGTTCGCTCAAAGAGGGATGGCATATCTGTTTTTCTAATTTAATTTCTAATTGTGGGGGTGACTGAGCCTACAAGGTTTAGGCACGATATGACGTTTTTATTAAAACTTTTTTCAACTGTTTGCCAAAGCATGCGACTATAGCCTATGCCTACATTAAGATATTTATGTTAATATTTTTTTACTGCCTGTTGTTTCTTTTGGCATATAAAATAGGTATTGTCTGATAGAGATATCAATAGAGGTTCATCTGTGTCGCAGAACTGGTGTTGTTTCCGATTTCTACAAGCTCAATAACATCCACAGCAAAAAATAAAAAAAAAATAAATAAAAAAAATAGTCGAAAAACTGTGCCCATTAATTAGATGTGCAAGGCAAATAGGTACGTTTTTGGGGTTGCTATGGACAACTACAAAATATAAACATTATTAGGCTATAATGTAAATGACTTATTATTCTATCTATTTACTAAAAAATTAAGTGAAATAGGCATTTAGTAGTAGGCTTAATAGCAGCATGTTGAAATGATGTGTCAATGCGTTTTCTATTAGGCTACAATAAAAAAAGTTGTATAGTACAGTGCGTTTAATTTAGGCTATTTATTTATTTTTGTCCCTGTGCGCCGATTGGAGACGGAGTTCACTGCTGATATTCTGAGAGCTCGGGTGGGTGCGGTTTTAAAAATTGGTCAAAAATGTTAGTGCGGATGGATGGCGGACGGATGATGAATTTTGTCATGCGGTTGCGGATGAAATAATAGCCCATCCGCGCATCTCTAATAGTTATTTTGAATCTGCTTGACAAAACTTATTGTCAGGCTGCGAAAAAATGAGAGATTGTTCTTGCAGAAAAATCACACTTTTCAGGAACTTCAGAGCAGAGAAACACACAGATTTCTCCAGCTCTGCTTGCGATCAGAGACAGATGTGCAGCGCCTGCAGGATGCTGAGAGCAAGAGCTCTGTTAATTGGCTGATCTTCGACACTGCTGGACGGCTGGAGCTGAAAACTGTGAGCATGCAAAAAAAAAAAAAAAACCCTGAGAAAACATCATCCCAATGAGAGCAATATACAGTGCTCAGAATAAATGAGTACACCCCTCATAGAGCTCTCTTTTAAATTCATATTTTATATAGGACGCTTTACATTATATATGTGCATATACATTCGATTATTCAGTACCAAAGACAAAACTGGAACCAACCTATAACAATCTGAAATCACAATCAAAAATTTGTATTTTCAAATTAATATATTGTGGATAAATATTAGGAAGACAGAGTTTATTTAACACGATTAGCATGTTAGCATGTTTTTACCATTTTGCTAGCAAAATTAGGGTTAAATGTGCCACTTACATCATCAGATCCCAAGCCGAAGGTGAGCAAATTGAAGTTACCAATCTTTTTGTAACTAGCATTTGTTGCTAATGTTTCTACCATCCAAGATTTGCACATTGCTAGCATGATATACTGTAGCATGTTTCTAGCAGGTAAAACATTGATGTTTGTTGTAAGGGTTCTATTTTAACAATTGTAACAATTGTTAATGACTTGTATGGCCTAAAACTTATAGCACACTTTCTCTAAGGGCATGTCAAAATCCACATTTGCTATTTTAAGGATGGGAAAAATGGTTGTTGCGCCCAGTGCATGGTATAAAAAGGTTAACATGATTAGCATGTTAGCATGTTTTTAACAATTTATCAATTTGTGGGCAAAATTAGGGTTAAATCACTTACATCATCAGATCCCAAGCCAAAGATGAGCAGGTCGAAATTACTAAGCTTCAGTATGTTTCCGATGCTATTTTAACTATTTGCTAGCATACCGCTGACATGAATTAACATTTTGCATGTTGCTAATGTTTCTATGTTTGCTTTGTGTTTGCATGTTGCTATTGATATTTTAAATATTAACTAGCATACTGCTAACTAGCATTTGCTGCTAATTTTTCTACCGTCCAAGATTTGGATAATGGCTAGCATGTTATACTGTAGCATGTTTCAAGCAGGTAAAACATTGATGTTTGTTATATGTGGCTGTATTTTAACAATCTAAATGCATAGTCTAAAATGCTTAACACAGTTTTTCTTAAGACATCTTAAGACAAAGTTACCATGCTTTAGTATGTTGCTAATATTATTTTGAGCTATTTGTTAGCATATTGCTAACATGAATTAACATTTAAAATGTTGCTAATGTAGGCGAGGCAGTGGCGCAGTAGGTAGTGCTGTCGCCTCACTGCAAGAAGGTCGCTGGGTTGCTGGTTCAAACCTCAGCTCAATTGGTGTTTCTGTGTGGAGTTTGCATGTTCTCCCTGCCTTCGCGTGGGTTTCCTCCGGGTGCTCCGGTTTCCCCCACAGTCCAAAGACATGCGGTACAGGTGAATTGGGTAGGCTAAATTGTCCATAGTGTATGAGTGTGTGTGGATGTTTCCCAGAGATGGGTTGCGGCTGGAAGGGCATCCGCTGTGTAAAAACTTGCTGGATAATTAGGCGGTTCATTCCGCGGTGGCGATCCTGGATTAATAAAGGGATTAAGCCGACAAGAAAATGAATGAATGAATGAATGAATGTTGCTAATGTTTGTAGCATCCAAGATTTGTCACATTGCTAGCATGATATACTGTAGCATGGTTGTAGCAGGTAAAACATTGATATTTGCTATATGGGGCTCTATTTTAACAATATACAGTAGGCACATGGTTTAAAACGCACAGCGCAGTTTCTGTTGGCGCTTGTCAGAGTCCACTTTTGCTATTCTAAAGATGGGAAAAACTGTTGTCTTTCACACCACTTGATCTAAAAGGGTTAACACAATTAGCATGTTCTTAACTGTTAAACATTTTAATGATAAAAATTTGGGTTCAATGCATCACTTACATCTTTAAATACTTAGCCGAAGATAAGCAGGTTGAAGTTACCATGCTTTAGGAAGTTGTTAAGGCTATTTTTACTATTTGCTAGCATACTGCTAATATTAACATTTATCATGTTGCTAATGTTTGCTAACTACCAAGATTTGGCACACTGCTAGCGCTCGACCAGCTAAAACCAGCCAACCAGCCTAGGCTGATTTAAGCTGGATTTTTTTTAGCAGGGTTGTATTGCTAATATAATAATAATAATAATAAAAAACTTTTTTAAATGTGCTATCTTTCTATTCCTAAACATTTTAGCTGACCAAACTCTTATTTTAATGGAAAATATATTGTTAAAATGCACTAAATGATTGGCTATATTCACTGAGAAATGGATAAAAAGGTTATTTTCAAAAGGAGAGGTGTACTCGTTTGTGCTGAGGACTGCACTTAGCCAGACCAAGCAGCAAAGCCATCCATAGTCTAAAAATATACCGCACGCCATCAAATAATGACATTTCCAGTAGGTCCTAATCTTTAATATTTTAAAAGCCACTGTCTGTGTTTCTTGTGTCCGCAGGTCATGTGTCTGACTTCCACAGAGTCACTATCCGTCGCTGGAACGAACCACAAAATGGGGAAACCATATGCTGCGATGTGCCAGAAGCTCACATGATGGACGTGCCCACATAAACAAGAGACCAATCCAGACAGAGACTCAGCCTGTAAGCTGTTCAAACATCAGTTCCCTCTATCTCTCTCTCTTGCTCATCATAATCATTGACTCCCCTTTGGTAAGCCAGTAATCCAAATAAATGGATTCAGAAATGAAAGCCATTCAAAAAAAAAAAAGAAAAGAAGAGAGGAACACATCATACAGTATATTCCGATGCTGTAATCCCTGATTCACTGAAAGAAAGAGTTGTGTTGTGTTTGGAAGAATAAACGCTAAGAGCTTTCTGACCTGAACGCTACATTTGATCTGATCTGATCTGATCTGGATATGGTGCAAACAAACACATATATACAAGAGTAAACAGACAGTTCAGGTCTCAAATGAGCAAACTGTTTTATATGGAGAGTTCTATATTATGTACAATACAGAAAGCCTTTTGTTTTTAGCGACACCGGTGGCTGTTCAGTGAACTGCAACAAGCAAATTATTGCTTGCACTTACGCACATACAACTTACAATAGACTGAACGTGAGCCAAACTGATCGGCATGAGATAGCATATAATGTATGTAGTATCACTTCATTGTTTTGTAAAAAATTACTTTGCACTTATAATTAAAAAAAATTATAAATTACTACATCAAGATCATTTGAGTTTGCGGGTGCATTACGAAATAGAGAGAGATCAGGTAAGTTATTTATAAATTCATCTTTAGTTGACGGAACAATAGTTCTACTAGGGCGGAGTATTGGAGCGGGTTTGCTGATTTCAGGTAAACATAGCTTATATAGTAAGAGGTAGTGATCTGTAATATCATCACTTTGTGGTATAATGTCTACGTCAATAACCTCGATTCCATAAGACTGGCGTCACTGGCGTCACTGTCTCCGTTCGGTCACACACTGTGTGCTTGAAGTTTGGACTTGCTATTTACTCGCAATTTAAATCTTAATCATTAAATTCTTCCTCATTCGCTAAGTATTTGTCTCTCCTACTTAGGGTGACCAAACCCTTAATACATTTATACAAACAAAGCTGCTTTAAAAACGGTCTGTCCCTCGAGCATCCGCCTGTTGTTTGTAGCTTTAGCCTGCTAGCGCCGCTGGTCAGCTAAAGCTACCGACCTCTTTAACCATACACTTTTGACTTACTGGCTTTGCTCTTTACCCCGTAAAATGTCGCTTCCGTCTCTGTCCTTGTGTGCAGGAGAAGCATCGATGGAGGCGTTGGAGCTGGAGCTGGAAGAAGTGGAGTCCCAGATCCGCGCGCTGGTGGTAAGACGGTCGCGGCTACGGGAACGGCTTCTAGCCGTACCTAATGCTAAGGCCGTCTCATCACCTAAGGTACGTGGAAATTACAACCACATCATTTCCTCTACCTCAACCCCGCGTCCTTCTCTGTCCAGGCCCAGCGCACCCGGGGCGCGGCTCAGCCAGGCGTCGTTCACGCCGACACCCGGCTACCACGGCGCCTGGGTGCAGCCGCGCAAGGTGCTTCCCAGATCCCGGGGCAGAACGTCTCCGCCTGTGTTCGAGATCTCCACGGAGAACCGCTTCTCCCCTCTCCGCGAGTCGGGTCCCGATGTGGCCATCATCGGTGACTCGATCGTTCGTCACGTCCGTGCCGCCTCCTCAAAAGGTAATAAAGTACGTACTTTCTGCTTTCCTGGTGCCCGTGTGAAAAATATTTCTACACAGATTCCAACCATCCTGGGCGCTGCCGAGAGCCCTGGTGCCGTTGTCCTCCACGTGGGGACAAACGACACCGGGCTCCGGCAGTCGGAGATCCTGAAGAAGGACTTCAGGAGCCTGATCGAGACGGTTCGACGCACCTCGCCCGCCACGCAGATCATCGTTTCTGGGCCGCTTCCTACCTACCGCCGAGGAAATGAAAGGTTCAGTAGACTTTTAGCTTTGAATGAATGGCTAATAACATGGTGTAAAGAACAGAAATTGCTCTTTGCTAATAACTGGAATCTTTTCTGGGAGCGTCCTAGGCTCTTCCGTCCTGACGGCCTGCACCCCAGTCGAGCCGGAGCTGAACTCCTGTCGGACAACATCTCCAGACTACTTCGCACCATCTGACTAGCAGGTAAAAATTCACAAAATTCACACTATAGCCACCTAGACTCTTGTTCACCCCACTTAAACATCAGTAACGCATATCTGGCGAATCCTATAGAGACTGTGTCTGTTCCTCGTATTATTAGATTAAGAAATAAACGTACTGTGTGCTCCAGGAAAAATCTAGTAAGAATCAAACCAGAAAAACCAGTAGAAAGTGAAAATACAAATTTCGTAAAACTTGGTCTCCTAAACATCAGGTCACTTGCACCTAAAGCACTTATCATTAATGAAATAATAACAGAAAACAATCTTAATGCACTCTGTCTCACTGAAACCTGGCTGAAACAAAATGACTATATTAGCTTAAATGAAGCAACTCCTCCAGGATTCTTATATAAACATGAGGCTCGTCAAACTGGTCGTGGTGGTGGAGTTGCATCAATCTTTAGTGATTTCCTTAATATTAAACAGAGAAACGGACTTATGTTTAGCTCCTTTGAAGTATTATCGCTTAATGTTCAGCTTCCAGATACTATACAAAAACCTATGTTATCTCTCGCTTTAATCACCATATATAGACCCCCAGGACCCTATGTCAAATTTCTAAAAGAATTTTCTGATTTTATTTCTGACTTACTAGTCAAAACTGATAAAATGCTAATTGTAGGTGACTTTAACATCCACATAGATGACGCTAATGATACATTAGGGCTCGCGTTTATGGATTTAATACACTCACTTGGGATAAAGCAAAACGT